CTCAGAGAACTCACGGGAGCATCCTGCAGGATACCGAGAGACACACATCAGAGACCCCACGGATATAGGAGCTGACTGAGAAATACAAAGTTGTCCCACTCCAAGATGAATGGATTCTAGTGGCGGAGTTGTTCCCCCAGAATCTACCAAGAAAAGCACACAAAACTGATTCAAGAAAGGAGAGCCATCTCACCTGCTCCCCAAGCCTCAAGCCTGCTACCAGCCATCAGTGGTACCAGCCACAGGGAACTCTGTCTGCTCCATCTGGACAAGTGGGAAGACACTGTGGGAGGAGACACAGGTGCCAGAGCTGGAAGGAGGCTCAGGAGGAACGAGGAACCGGTTATGCACTTTGTCACCCAGAGCCAGCCCCAGGCTCAGGGAAGGGAACGAGCGTAACTTGAATTGTGTTTGGCTTTATACAGCGCTGTTAGTTCAAACTGTGTGAAACTACCATTTGCTTGGGCAAAAAGTTTTCAAATATTGGTAGTTTCTCATAGTTTAACCTGAAAAGCTAGATTGGATGGGACAGTTTAAATGCCAAAATGTAATTATCCATGCCTAAGAGAGGAACTTACCCAGCTGTGAGCACTGCATGAGTCCCTACAGGGCCAGTGGAGGAGGAGCTGACCCCCTGGACAGCTCGGACTGGGCTGCATCTCTTCCCTGGGGCTGTGGACCGTATGGTTCCATTGGAAGCAAATGAGGACCTCTCATGTTCGTGAACTAATGAGCTTAGAAATACTAATTCTGCAATAAATTCAGTCAGTAAACACTAACTGAGGCACTAGCACAGATTTAGGTCACAAGAATATATAACAAAGTGAACAAGGCAAAGTCCTTGCCCTCAAGGGGCACATGTTATTTTGGGAGGTCCGAGGGTTGCTGACCAGCATAAAAGAAAATATAAATAATTAAACACAGATGATCAATCCAGGATATAGTAAGTGTGCGACCAAGAAAGCCTGAGGGTGAAGACCTGCCATGTGCAGTGTGTGCAGACGCCCTGGAGAGGGACCCGAACTTCGAGGTACCTTACTGATGGGAAGGACACTTCTATTGTCTCACTAAGGTGCGCTTTCAGAGGGCAAGGACCAGTACTCTCACCATAGTCACTGCAGCCCTGAGGGCTCATGCAGGCTCAGGTTCCCGGGTCCTAGGAGGGCACTGGAGATTTCCCAAGAGTGGGTTCAGATTTAAGGACTTGTCTTTAGCAGGCTCTGCTGGCCGCCTGGATGTGCAGGTGCAGGGAGCCATCCCATTGTGGAGTGTGAGATGGAAAGCTCTTTTCATGTCCAAGGCACTGCCGTGGCAGGAGGGGCTCCCTCCAGGATACACCGTGGTGCTGGTGGAGTCAGGAGCTGCACTGCCTCCTCGGCCGCATGGCTCTGAACTCGGGCTCCTCTGCCCACCAGCAGGGTGGCCGTCCTTTATCACCCTGAGCCTCTTCTCAGAATGTGAAACAGATAATAAAGCCTTCTCTTCTGGGTTTTGAATGCACTAAAGGCTTCAAACAAATGGAGTTTTCCTGTCACAAAGAGGCCGTGGACCAAGATCACAAAGCAAGTTTGTGGCAGAGGTGGCATTAGGAAGGCTCTTTCTGCCTTCCCAGCTGCCCGTGAGCCAGGAGCAAGGACAGGTCCTGTAGCATGAAGGGGACCTCACCAGGCAGGGGCAGCCGCAAGCCAGGGTCCTCCCCACAGGTCAACACAGGCCAGCCCACGGAGGGAACAGCCAGAGGGGGCTTCCACTCCTGGGGACCTGTGCTCAGCGAGAGCCGCAGGATCCAGCAGGGGTGCAATCTCCATTAAGACACTAATGGCTTTGAAATGGAGCTGCTTCTTAAGCTGGCAGAAGCCAGCCCCCTCCGAGGAGCAGCAGAGCCGAGAGCCAGCATGATAAGCGAGGTGAGCCCAGTTCAAGGACATCAACTCAGAGCCACCTGCACCATCTCCCTTCGCACAGCAGCCCTGCGAAATATGGCCAGCGAGGACCCGTGTGCCTGGGAGTCAGACCAGCCCGGCTGTTCCCCTTTCACACCCAGCCCAGCCCCCGGGCCTCCCAGCTGACCTGGACCCATCAGCTGTTCCCAGGCACTCACAGATGGAGCTGAGACCAAGGTGGGCCGCCAGGAGCAGCGATGGCACCATGTGCATCCTCGGCCCATCGCTGGACACCTAAGATCTGGCCCCAGCTCTGGTGTGACCTTGGACAGCTACTTCTGTTCTCTTTGCTTTCACCTATAATGCTGCGCAGAGGCTTGGGGGCTGGACCAGATAATAACAGTAGGCAACTTCTGTCTAGGACTTGCTATGCCTTGAACATCTGATAGATGGGCATTGATCTTATAATACCTATTAACTTGAGAACAGATTAATCATCATTCTTAATTTACAGATGAGTAAACTGAGGCATACAACATTTGAATGACTTCCTTGAAGGGACCCTTTAGTAAACACAAGACCCTGTGGTCTGAGCCTTTAGCCCACACTGTCCACTTTTAAGAATGGCTTGCACACACGGCGCCACTCTGGTCACAGCCAAGCGAGCTTCCAGCTTCCTAGGAGGAGACTGGAACCTGCTGTGCTTGGAATTTCCTCCTTTCTGGAAAACGACAGCCGCATGGAGAGGTCACCCTGGCCATAACTCCTAGCAGTGCCGGGAGTTCAGGGGAGGAGAAAGTGAGGGAGCTTCCAGTTGGGGAAGGATCGATGCACAGCAGAGGCAGGTTCAGGGCCAGACAGACCGTGAGGGGAGAGGAGCCGGCTCAGCTAACAGTGGATCCAGCTCTGCCAAGGCCCACAGTGGGGCTGTGACCAGCACTCTGCCAAAGGGCAGCCACAGTGCCACCCCTGTCTTGGAATCCTCCACTTGGGAAAAAACTTGCCATCCTCTGCATCAGCTTTACACCCAATCCTGGACCTTTCACAGTTACTGTCACCCAGCACAGCCATGGCTGCCATCACTTGTGTGCCCTGGACACTGAGCCCCTTGGGATCAGAGCTGGGCATGGTCACTCTCTCCACCACTCAAGTTCTGTGCCTGAACACAGTACAGAAGGCACAAGACAGGAGCTCAAAGCAGAGATGGGCCCCTGAGACTGTGGCAGAGGGTGTGGGTCTGGGCTGACACAGACAGGGGTGTGACGGGCTTGTTTCCTGTGACACTTTCCCTGCCAGGCCAGGACTTGGCGCAGCTGCAACCCTGCCCCTGTTACTGTGGACTGCAGGGAGACAAAGAGGAGGCAGACGACTCCCAGGCCAGCCTCCTCCTCCGCGGGAGGATGAGGCGATGGTCACGAGACGCCAGCAGTGGGGAAGGCTCACTTTGTCCTCCGAGGGCAGCCCTCCAAGCTTCTTTGTTCTAAATCCAGAATATTTTGTCTTGTTTCTCCTTGATATTTCTCTCTGCCACCTGTCATCCCATTCAGGTCTCAGACAGTGCTTTTGATGCAGTAGCTTTAGGAGCGGGAGCTGAGGACAGTGCCTGGACAGCACCTGGACCAGTGAATCATAGATCAGGCACCTGGGTGATGATTTCCAGGAAAAGACACTGCTGTGAATTATGCGGGTGGCCTGTTTCAGCGTTACACTACTTCTGGATGTAATGACTCTCTGTAACTAATTAACCACCCTCCAGCTGCCTTGAAGGCACAAGAGAAAGGAAGAAAAATGGGTCCGAAACTAAAGGCCAAAAGTGCCCACAATATTTTTTCTAAAAAAGTGAAAATAGGAAAAACTGAAGATAAATTAGGACAAAGGGCTTTGAGGTGGTTCTAGGAGAAAGGAAGGGACTGAGAGCTGGTGCAGAGCATTAGAGGTTTGCTGCTCTTGGGTCTGTAGTAGGAGAGAGACAGTTATACCATAGTGACTCAGGGATAATTGGGAATGAGCCTTCCCACAGGCCAAGAAACAAGGACCCGGAATTACAGGGGCAGAGGAGTCCCAGAGCGGAACTGTCCTCTGCTTAAACAGGTTCTGGGGACCTATGGGCTAGAGCCCAGCTGCTACAAAGAAGACACATGCAGACATGCACACGCACACACACACACACACACACACACACACACACACACACACACACCAGCCCTGCAACCCTCCACCTCATCCCATGTTGCAGGACTCCTCTTGAGCTCATGCAGATGGAACCCCATCTCATTCTCACATCACAGTGTGTCCCCACCATCAGCACAGACCAGGCACAGATGTCCACTCTCATGGTACCTGACACACACATGTGTTGGCATGTTGTATACTTCTCTGCAGCCTGAGGGACACAGTGCACACTTGTGTGGAACAGATACAGGCCTGATAAAGGGCTTTCAGATGGGGAACAGGCACATGGGGGTACAGAATGCAGGGGTGGAAAGAGGGAGAGAGAAACACAAAGAGCAACACCCGTGCCCCACCGCACACCTGCAGTATGTCCCAGTTCCACTGCCGGAGAGTCACATGCACACATACAGACAGGGATACACACATGCATATGCACACATGTACACCCACATGGATGCATTTGCCACTGCCACCCCATGTTAGCAGCACCTCGCCATCCACAGCATCCACAACTACACACTTAATTGACACTCTACTCCCTCGCTACTACACTTCCACCATACACATCCACCTGCTTGCTACACACACACACACACACACACACACACACACACACACACACATTTTCCCCAACATAGCCACCCCTCTCCCACTCAGAGTGCGTGCTTGAAAATGACGCATGCTTCCCTACAACCACACTCCAGCCTCACCAGCATGCAACATAATTTCTTGTGTGCCAAATACCTGTGTATTCTGATACTTAATATCAGACACCCCATCTACACAAAGATGCACACTTCGTGTACACATAGACACACTCGTGGCAGGTCTTACAGTTAGTGTCATGTCATTCCATCTAGTGTGCATCTAGTCTTATTTAGCAGCTTTAAGAATAACCACCACTCCCTGCAGCTCCCAGGATGATTTCTTCATTTTGTTTTTTTTTTAAATATGGAATGTTTCATGAATTTGCATCCTTGTGCAGACGCCATGCTAGTCTTCTCTGTATCATTCCAATTTCAGTATATGTGCTACTGAAGGGAGCACCCTTATTCTGATTTGTACAGGGCATAAGGCTGGGTCCAGAGGATGCATTCCTTACATGCTTTACTGTAAATTTGTACTTAGCATTATAGTAGGCAGCTGTGCATCTCTATACCTTTCCCTGAGGGACACAGGGAGCAATCTGTTTGTTTATTCACTTGGTCTGATGAATGGCAAGGAATGTGCACATGGACAAAAGTGTCAAAACAGGATTTAAACACATCTTGTGCTTCAGCTGGTTTTGCATGTTTACCAGAGCAGCACAGAGAGCTCAAGAGACCCACACCACTCCAGAGTTTCTTGAAAAAGTTTTGTTTTGATTTTTCTTATAGAAGTACCCTAATTCAGTACAGTGGCACATGAAAAAAAAACAGATTTGCAAGTTTTGAAGGAAGTCATCAGGGTACTTGTGCATGGCAAAATACATACTTTCATAATAGAGTAGCATGGGTGGATGATGATGATGATGATGATAATGATGATGCTGATGACTTTGAATTTGGTCAGCTGAGCCAAAGTTCCTGTGACAATGAGGTAGAGCAGAATCAATTGATACAGACAAGGGAATACAGACCTCCTTGATTCAGAGGAAGAAGAAAACAGCAGAATGAACACATATTTAACTAGTTGAAATGTCACAAAATGGCCACAGAACTAAACAGAATGATCCAGCATTAGAACTAGATCCAAAAATAATAGTGAAGGTCTTGGTGTGGGTGATAGGTATTGGACAGAATGCTAGCACTGCTTCTTAGTGTTGAAAATTGTAACCGATGAAATTCTACAAGATGATATGAAATACACAAAAACTGAAATGCAAGTCAAATATTCTGTATGCACCAGAAGCCATGCTCAAAAATGTACTTAGTATGATGTCTCACTAGCTAAACTGAAATCATTCATAGGTCTCCTGTACTTAACAGGGATTTTTCATGGTACTTGCAGGAATGTAAAAGACTTATGGAAAAGCAATGTCAAAATATAGCATAAAATATATGCCCTTGTAGAAGTGAAGACTTATTATGCTTTCAGTTTAGACACTGATCCTGAAATCTGGTCATTGGGTCCTTGTTCATATAGCAATAAACCATATGATGTTGCAAACAGACTTACTGATCCCTTCTCCCAAGCTAATCAGAAAGTAGCATTCAACAGCTGGTTTATCAGTTTCCAACTGATGTTACATTGGCTAGCAGAGCACAAATTGACCATCACAGGAATGATTCATAGGAACAAAGCAGAAATTCCAAATTAAATGTTGAAAAAAGTTTTTAAAATTTTATTTAAAGAAAGACAAAACAAAACAGAAAACAAGTAGAAATAGTACATACTTTCAAAGGAAAAAATAAACAATAATAAATCACTCACTGATGCTTACATATTGTCCTCTTACAAATAATTGTTCAAGATACAAAAATGGAACATATAAATGGGAATTCAAACAGGGAGACTGCAAATATTTCAGTTCAACTATCTAATAGAAACTTGGTAATATGATTATCAATCCTATACACTTAAACATACATGCAGTTATCCATATCTTCATTTATTGAGATTAAACAAACCAAAGCAGACTAAAATCACTCTGAACAAAGAATAATAATATTGCTGGATTTCACATCATGACACTCCAGAATCAGCACTGGGTACTGTAGTGCCTTTTGTTCCTTCAAAGTATTTGTTCATTTCATCATGTGTCATAAGATTAGTTCTTGTAAACGGTTTATAGGTTTTACGCAAGCATGAGTTTTAACATGTATTTCTATCCTTTCTGTATTAGAAGGAGAAACAGAACAAGCAGAACAGAACAAAATATATTCCTGTAGACACATAAAACTAAAAAGACATATAAAACTGCTGTACAAGGAGTTCTACCATGGTTACTGTGTTGTCTCTTGTTATCATCAATAGAATTGGCTATACCATCAGATAAAGTATAATTGAATATATTAGTACATAACAGTATTAATAGAAATATAACTTTGTAGATAGTGTAGAACTACAAAAACAGGTAATAATCAAACCAGAATGTGTATCATAGTGAATCATTGTCATTTTCAGTATAGCTCTCTATACTCTCTGACTTGATACTATCAACCTTAACAGTTTTGAATAAAATCTGTCAATAACAAACAGTAATCAAACAAATCAGATTTAACTAAGATCAGTCATGTTATAACAGTATAAATAATACAGAGATCCGAATTAAGTTAATAGGAAATTAAAGATGATTACTGTGCTATATCCTGATATTTTTGGGATAGCTTTCTGTGCCCTCAGATCTAGTGCATGTATACAAACTGGGATGGAATAAGTTCTATCTAAGCAGAGTGGTGCGAGTAATATGGGCTTTAATTCCTGATACACTATTAGTAATATCATCTGCTGTGTTTCTTTTTAAGACTATTCCTCCCCTTCCACTCCCCCAGGATGTACTGTGCATTTTTGGGTCTCCCCAGTGCCCTTGGTTTTACATGGGGGCGGGCAACCTGCTATTTATCTAAGTGTTTCTGAACTTATTCACTCTTGGGCTTGATCTCTAGTTGTATTTATTTACCTATTAAAGCCTGTCTTTCCAACCTATCCATAAATACTGGTCCAGTTGCCCCTATTACTCTCTAGTTCCCTATCACATAGAGTTCTGTTTTCTCATATTTGATTTTTGGTCCATATACCCTTCTTCAGGTTAATTATATTTCCTATAAAGTGCATCTAGGTGGACCCTACTTCTTGATCCATTCTGCCTGCGAATCTCTTTTTTTCCTTAACTTAGTGTATCCAGGTCATCTATATTAGAAATTATATCCAACCTTCTCTGCCCCATTTCTGTTGTGTTCTTTTTCCATCATTAGTTGTCTGTTTGTCTTCTTCATTTTGTTCCATTTTTGCTCCATTCATTGAGGCCTCTCTGCCACTGTTCCTGAAACCCTGGTGCTTTTCTCTCTCTTTAAAATGTCCTGCAGTATTCTCTGTAGAACTAGATTGGTGGTTGTGAATTCCCTAAGTTCCTCTTTATCTTGGAAGCATCTTGTTTCTCCATTAATTTCTATGGACAATTTTTCAAGATACATCAATATGGGCTGGAAGCTATTTTATTTCAGGGTTTGGAATACTTTGCTCCATGCTCTTCTCAATTTGATGGTCTGTGCCAAGAAGTCTGCTATATAATTCTGATGGGCTTTCCCTTGTAAGTGATCTGTTTCTTGTCTCTGACAGCTTTTAATTTTTGTTCTTATATTGGATATTTAGGATCTTGATTATTATATGCCTTATGTAGTTATGTTTTGGTTGCAGGTGCCTGGAGTTCTGTATGCCTCATACATCTGAATGTCTTTTCCTTTTCCTGTGTTTGGGAAGTTTTCCTTAATTATTTCTGTAAATATCCCTTGTAGTTCCTTTGTTTGTACCCCTGCTTCTTCATTCACATTCTTTATTCTTAAGTTATAGATCCTCTTGTCATCTTCTAGCCTTTGTATTGTTACTGCTTGTTTCCTTGTTATTTTTAAGAAATTTTTCCTTTCATGATCTCACATTGCAAACCAGTCCTCCAGTTCAGATAATCTATCCTTAGTTTCTTTCAAGCAGTTTTGCCAGCTTTCAATGGAGTTTTTAATTTCCTGGCAATCTCTTTGAACCTTCTTCATGTATTCTATGTTTTCTCTATTTTCTTCATTAAACAATTCTCCCCTTTTTTAAATGTTCCTCCAATCTTTCATCTGTTTTTTCTTGAGAGGTGCTTAGCATTTCTTTTATTATTCTGTTTATATCTTGCTTTACTTCATTAAATACTTCACTTTTGAACTCATCTATGAGGTCCCAAAGCTATCGCTTTATGTCCACTGGAGCCGTGTCTAATACTGCATGTTTGCCATTCAATCTCCTTTACATTTACCTTTCCTGGATCAATGTTCTCAGGGTTGGGGGCTAGGGACCCTTTCTTGTTACTTCCTCTTCTCATATTTTTTGTTCCTTCCATACAGGTTGTATATAGGAGGCCCCAGTTTCTTTCTCTGTTGGTTACAGTTCATCTAAAGCATGCTGACTAGGTGCTCCCACACACGGCAGCGTACTAAAGAGATACAGACTGGAGAAATGTATGCTGGGCCCTCCCCTCTGGGTCAGGCAACCTGCTGAGGGTTTCCCTGCATTAGAGTGCACCACCAGGCATAGGGACTTAGTTTGGGCTAGCCTATTGGGTCTCAGTCTGGGGCATGACCCAGGTCAAGTGCTCCCCACCAATCCCACTTGAGAAGGGAGCAGCTGACTGAAGTCACTGCAGTCCCTTGTTCTCACCAGTCTGCCTGGCCCCAGAATGTTGTCTGTTGGAGCCCCTTTTTCTGTGGAAGGGTTTTATTCCCATCACTCACAGCAGGTTGATGCAGGTTCCCTGCCAGCTCAGCTCTCCCTTTGGTTTGCCGACTCCCATTATCAGTGCGAGTGCATCTCCAATGAGTTGAATCAGCAGTGGGCTTTCAAGTAGCTCAGTAAGTCTCGGCTGTGTGAGTTCCAGTGCTGCAGTGGAAGCACCGAGACTTTAGCTGTTCCAAGAGTAGCACTGGGACTATATATTTAATTGGTTTTTCTCAGCTTAGTTTGTTCCTGGGTCAGGAGGATCTATCACCCTCTGTTTGGGACTCTGCACACTGTATTATTTTTGGAATCTAAGTTGACTATCTCAGGGAGTCTCTGTAGCCTGCTGTTATCTGTCTGCCATCTTTCCAAATATCCAAATGTTGAAATTTTGAAACAGAGAATTGTATAGCACAATCTTTGGATTTCAGAAGAATACAACATTGGCCTCATATATGGCAAAGAAAAACAAAGTGGGACTGCTTATGTCAACATTGCACTGTGATGAAAATACTGATAGAGAAACCTTGACAAAACTGAAGCCTGAGATGGAGACTTTTAACTACAAAACCATGCGTGGACAAGCTGCTGTTGATGAGTTATGCAGTAATTATGATATCATGACGTACAAAGTACTAGCTAATGATCATGTG